ATAATGGGGAGGGGGAATGTAAATCTAACCTGCTAGAAAACTTACATTCACTCTGGCAGTTACAAAAGTTTTGTGATGTAGAAATATCATCAGCTGATGGATCAATTGTGAAGGTGAGAAAACATTATTTTTTAACTGAAATAACTGTAAAAACTGTCGTCTGTCCTGTTTGTACTTAACACAACTATTTTTATTATTTCAGGCTCACCGTGTAATACTCTCGGCGGGAAGTAATTATTTTAAGACAATGTTTACCTGTGGATTAAGTGAGGAAACAACACAGTCTTCTTCAATAGAAATGAAGTCTATGAAATTTAATATATTAAAACAGCTCATCGGATTTATATATACTGGTAAGGATAAAGAAAAACTTTTTAAAAGTTAATAGAAAGTGAGTACTAATGTAAAACTAAAAACGATATTTTTTATTTTGTTGATGGATTGTTTTTTTTAAATCTTTAGAAAACATCGAGGTAACAGTGGAAAATGTTCAAGAGTTAATTGTGGCTGCAAACATACTTGAAATTCACCATGCTGTACGTGTTTGTACAGACTTTCTTAAGAGTGAACTTCATCCATCCAATGCTTTAGGAATTTACAGGTACGGTTTGATGATTCAGTTCAGTTGATTATGTTACCTATATGTACGTACAATAAATAAATCTATTAGGAATAAATCCATTGTTTTTGTTTTTTTAAACAGGTTTGCTGAGGCCCATTATTTAGTAAACCTGCTGTCTGCTTCACAGGACTTCATCTTTTCTAATTTCGTAGAAATTACAATGGAAAAGAGTTTCTTGAGATTTCTAAAGAAATTCTACTGTATTTTTTGGAGTCAGAGTATCTTCATATTGACTCTGAGTTTCAGGTAAATATTTATATACGCTATTTTTTTATTTAATAGTAGACCCCCAAACAATCAAATTTATCTACCTTTTCTTTCTTTATTGTATTACAGGTATTCTCTGCTGCCATCAGATGGATTACACAAGATATAACTAATAGACATTGTTGGATTTATGACATTTTGAAACGAGTGAAATTGGCTTTAATTCCAAGTAAACTAATAAAAAAATCAATTAATGAGTGCTCTAATATCAATCTGAAGGTTATTCTTAAACAGCAGAGGACGACATTTTTAAGGGACGAAAGGGAAGCCTCGTATATCCAGCCAAGAATTTGTCTTCGAAAGAAAATTTATGTTATAGGTGGATGGAAACTATCAGAGGAGTATAGTTTAAAAAGTGTCGAATGTTTTGATACCTTTAGGCAGAAATGGCAGAAAGTTTGCCCTATGAAAATTGAGAGATGTGGGCCAGGAGTAGCAGTCTTACATGGGAAAATATTCGTTGTTGGAGGGATTGGAGGGGACAGTCAGATTTGGGCAGATGGCGAAGTTTATGATCCACAGGAAGAAGATTGGACTGGGATATCTTCTATGGTTACCCCACGGTGTGATTTTGGATTATGCGCTCATGGAGGTTATCTCTATGCCTTCGGTGGTTGGACGGGATCGGTCATCGAAAAAAGTATTGAAAGATATGACCCTATTGCAGATGAGTGGACATTATTAGAGTCAAATATGCTAGAACCTATATCCGGGTAAGTACAATAACCATTTTCAAAGTGAAATTACTGACTGATAGTGTGTGTGTAAACTACTGATAATAATAAGAGAAAATGTAGTATTGACCTGTACTTGTCTTTTTTTCTTCTCCCTCTTTTTTTTTTTACAGTATGGGTATAGTAGAACATCGAGGTCTTATTTACATTGTTGGTGGAGTTGGTGCGGGATATTATTTCACCTTCCTGCGTAATCTTCTCTCATACAATCCTGTGACTGGGCATTGGAAGAATCTAGCACCAATGATAGCACTACATAAGAAGATAGGTGTTGCAGTTTTGGATAACTTTTTATATGTAGTAGGTGGTGGTATTCGGGACAATTATGAAAAAAAATCAATGCAAAGATATTCTTTTGAACAGGTAAGATTATTTACCAGTGCAAAACTTATAAATTCTTATTTTTATATACATTTACCTTATTTTTATATACATTTACCAGCGCTGTTCTTATGAATTCTTATTATTATATACAACAAGATTTGAATTACAATATTGTAGCTAGGAAGTGGAAGAATTTTTGTAATACTGTAGTGAAAATGGAGGGAGTAAAAAATTGTATAACTTCCCTACTCTCCCTTCCTTTTACTTTTCTTCTTTCTTTTACTTTCCCACAGAACAAATGGTTCAAGTGTTCATCGAAGTATTTTGGTCGAAGTATCTCAACAGTTGTTGCCACAAGTTCTCTGTTATATGTCATAGGCGGCTGTAGAGGGGTAAGGAAGAACGAACGAAAACAGAATGATTAATGAATATGTGATATACAAATCCAAAGTTATCCAAAGTTTTAACTTTTAATTTTTTTTAGGTACCTATCACTAATGTGGAGTATTTCGACCCAAAGAAGAACAAGTGGATGAACTGTGCATCACTCCCAGAGGGTCGGTCTAATGCTAGAGCAGTCGTAATTTGACTCGACTTTCTTTCTCTTCTCTTCTTGATACTTCCCCAAGCTCAAGAAGCTCAAGAATATCTAACAGAGAAATTTAAGAGTCCTCTTCTTCTTCTTCATCCTTTTCAACAAACACACACTTAAAATAAAAATAAAAACTGAAATTAATGTATAGTTTTTACTTATCCATCCCAAGCTGCTGTACATTAGTTTTCCTACTGTTTGAAGGCGAGGACGGAAGCACCACCACCACCACCACAACCACAACAATTTACCTCCCCCTCTGTTAAAAAGTACCAGATATCAACACTATCAACACTACCACTATTTATAAAAGAACACTGGTGATGATTAGTATTAACATTAGTATTTGAGAATGGCGGCGGCACATGTGGAGCTCTCTCATCACGAGGAGGAGGAGGAGGAGGAATGTAAATCTTATCCGAACTACCTGCTAGACTGCATACATTTTCTCTGGCAGTCACAACAGTTATGTGATGTAGAAATATTATCAGCTGATGGATCAGTTGTGAAGGTGAGTGAGTAAGAAATTACATAAAATCACACTTAAAAGTATGTCCTCAATCAATCTATGTACCTTCCTCCACCCCTACTTTAAAAAAATCTGATGGGGATTACATTTTATTCCACAGGCTCACCGCGTAATACTGTCAGCGGGAAGCGACTATTTTAAGACCATGTTTACGTGTGGATTTGCTGAGAAAACAACACAATCAATAGAAATGAAGTCTATGAAACCCAATATATTAAAACTGCTCGTCGACTTCATATATACTGGTAAGGGAAAATATTTTAAGTTTTCATGTTTACGTGTGGATTTATATGTAAAACAACACAATCAATAGAAATGAAGTCTATGAAACCCAATATATTAAAACTGCTCGTCGACTTCATATATACTGGTAAGGGAAAATATTTTAAGTTTTCATAGTACTATGCTGCTATCTATATGTAAAGTTTTTATTTTGTTGCAAATGAATAAATGAAAATTTTTTTTTCTTTTTTTGTAAAAATACTTTAGGAAACATCGAGATAACAGTGGAAAACGCACAGGAGTTAATTGTGGCTGCGAATATGCTGTTCATGCCCCGTGCTGTACTTGTTTGTACAGACTTTCTCAAGAGCGAACTTGATCCATCCAATGCTTTGGGAATTTACAGGTAACGAATTTTTATTTTGTAAATTTTTTTATTTTGTTCTGTTCTGTTTTAATTTGATTGATTCTGATTCGATCTAATCCGATTCTAGAGAGGATGTGTTCCTTTTTTTTTGTTTTTTTTACAGGTTTGCTCAGGCCCATTATTTAGTAAGCTTGTTGAATGGTTCGCGGGACTTCATCTTCTCCAATTTCGTAGAAGTGACAATGGAGCAAGAGTTTCTTGAGATTCCTAAAGAAACTCTACTATATTTTTTGGATTCGGAGTATCTTCATATTGACTCTGAGTTTCAGGTAAATATTAGATATTTTTCTTTTTATTTAATATTTATTTATTGAACATTTTCTTTTTTTTTTCTTTTTTTATTGCAGCTCTCACTTTCTTTTTCTTTTCTTTTGTTATATTGCAGGTATTCTCTGCTGCCATCAGATGGATTACACAAGAAATAACTGATAGACTTTGTTGGATTCTCGATATTTTAAAACGAGTGAAATTGTCTTTAATTTCAAGTAAACTAATAGAAAAATCAATTAATGAGTGCTCTGATATCAGATTGAAGGTTAGCCTTAAACAGCAGACAACTTGGCCAAAAGGGAAGCCTTGTATGTCCAGCCAAGAATTTGTACTCGAAAGAAAATTTATGTCATAGGTGGATCAAGGAAAGAACACATAAGGAGATCAAGATCAAATAAGTATATATTTAAAAAAAGTGTCGAATGTTTTGATATCTTTAGGCAGATATGGCAGAAAGTTTACCCCATGAAAATTGGGAGAAGTTCACCAGGAATAGCAGTCTTACATGGAAAAATTTTCGTTGTTGGAGGGGTTGGAGAGGAGAGTCAGATTTTGGCGGATGGCGAAGTTTATGATCCACAGGAAGATTATTGGACTGGAATATCTTCTATGATAATCCCACGGTGTGATTTTGGATTATGCGCTCATGGAGGTTATCTCTATGCCTTCGGTGGTTGGACTGGATCAATGGAAATGGGAAAAAATATTGAAAGATATGACCCTATTACAGATGAGTGGAGATTATTAGAGTCAAATATGCCAGAAGCTAGATCCAAGTAAGTACAATAACCATTTGGATTTACTGATAGTGTGAATTACTAATAATAATAATGAGAAAATGTATCAGTGGCCTATACTGTTTTTTTTTTCTTCTTTTTTTTTTTTACAGCATAGGTATAGTAGAACATCGAGGTCTTATTTACATTATTGGTGGATATACGGACACTTACAATCCCCTGCATGATCTTCTCTCATACAATCCTGTGACTGGGGAGTGGAAGAATCTAGCACCAATGCAAGGTCCACCATCTAAGACGATAGGCCTTGCAGTTTTAGATAACTTTTTGTACCTAGTAGGTGATGGTATTCTGGATGAAAAATCAATGAAAAGATATTCTTTTGAGCAGGTAAGATTATTTACCAGTACTTAAAGTTTAATATTGTAACCAGGAAGTGGAAGAATTTTTGTAATACTTTAGGAAAAAAGGGAAAAACTTGTATACCCCCCTCCCGCCCCCTCACTCTTCTTTTAAACCTTTTTTCTTTTACTTTCCCACAGAACCAATGGTTTAAGTGTTCGTGTTCATCGTGTTCAGCGTATTTGGGTCGAAGTAACCTAGCAGTTGTTGCCACAAATTCTCTGTTATATGTCATAGGCGGTAACAATATAAATTACGATGGACTATTGGTAAGGAAGAATGAAAAGAATGCTTAATGAAAACTGATAATATTTATTAATAATCTTTATAATCCAAAGTTTTAACCTCAAACTAATTTTTTTTTTTTTTTTAGATATCTGTCGCTAATGTGGAGTATTTCGACCCTAAGAATAATAGGTGGATAAACTGTACATCACTCCCTGAGGGTCGGTCTGATGCTAGAGCAGTTTCAATTTAACTCACTCGAAACCTTAACCTTCAAGCCCTCTCTCATATCATTCCCATATATATTACATTTATTAGTTTTTTAGTTATATATGAGGATGGCGGCGGCACGTGTGGAGCTCTCTGATAACGGAGAGGAGGAGTGTAATTATCCTTATCCAAACAACCTGCTAGAGAACCTAAATTCACTCTGGCAGTTACAAAAGTTCTGTGATGTAGAAATATCAGTTGATGGATCAGTTGTGAAGGTGAGAAAACATTATTTTAACTTTATTATTTATTGTCAATAATTGAAAAAACTATCTTGTATATGTATACAACCAACCAAATTCTTTTATTATTATTCCAGGCTCACCGTGTAATACTCTCGGCGGGAAGTAATTATTTTAAGGCCATGTTTACCTGTGGATTAACTGAGGAAACAACACATTCTTCAATAGAAATTAAATCTATGAAATTTAATATATTAAAGCAGATCATCGGATTCATATATAATGGTAAGTAACATTTTAAGTTTTCATATTTATGAAAAAAAACGGTATTTTTATTTTGTTATTTATATCTTAATCTTTAGGAAACATCGAGGTAACAGCTGAAAACGTTCAAGAGTTAATAGTTGTTGCAAACATGCTGGTAGTTCCCCATGTTGTACGTATTTGCACAGACTTTCTCAAGAGTGAACTTCATCCATCCAATGCTTTAGGAATTTACAGGTAACGAATTTTTATTTTGTAATTTTTTTTTATTCCTGTTCGGTTCTGTTTTAATTTGATTGATTCTGATCTGATTCTATTCTAAAGAGGGTGTGTACATTTTTTTTTTTTTTTACAGGTTTGCTGAGGCCCATTATTTAGTAAGCTTGTTGAATGGTTCGCGGGACTTCATCTTCTCCAATTTCGTAGAAGTAACAATGGAGCAAGAGTTTCTTGAGATTCCTAAAGAAACTCTACTGTATTTTTTGGAGTCGGAGTATCTTCATATTGACTCTGAGTTTCAGGTAAATATTAAATATTTTTCTTTTTATTTAATATTTATTTATTAAATTCAAAAATCTAATTTTTTTGTGGTTTATTGCAGCTAGCTCACTTTCTTTTTCTTTTGTTATATTGCAGGTATTCTCTGCTGCCATCAGATGGATTACACAAGAAATAACTGATAGACTTTGTTGGATTCTTGACATTTTAAAACGAGTGAAATTATCTTTAATTTCAAGTAAACTAATAGAAAAATCAATTAATGAGTGCTCTGACATCAGATTGAAAGTTAACCTTAAACAGCAGATAAACTTGGCTAAAGAGGAAGCCTCCTTTTATGTCCAGCCAAGAATTTGTACTCGAAAGAAAATTTATGTCATAGGTGGATCAAGGAACGAATGGAATAGAGTATTTGAGATGTTTAAAAGTGTAGAATGTTTTGATACCTTTAGGAAGGAATGGCAGAAAGTTTGCCCGATGAAAAAAATAAGTGAAAGGCCAGAAATAGCAGTCTTACATGGGAAAATTTTCGTTGTTGGAGGGAGGGGTTGGAGAGATAGGAGAGATAGACGCAGACGCTTTCCGATTTTGGCGGATGGCGAAGTTTATAATCCACAGGAAGATAATTGGACTGGGATATCTTCTATGGTTACCCCACGATGTGATTTTGGATTATGCGCTCATGGAGGTTACCTTTATGCCTTCGGTGGTTGGACGGGATCGGTCGTCGAAAAAAGTATTGAAAGATATGACCCTATTACAGATGAGTGGAGATTATTAGAGTCAAATATGCCAGAAGCTAGAAAAAAGTAAGTACAATTGTAATGTTAAAAATCAACCATTTTCAAATTAGGTTTACTGACTGATAGTAACTGATAATGAGAAAATGTAGCAGTGGCCTGTACTTTTTTTTTTGTCTTTTTCTCCTTTTCTTTTCTTTTACAGAATGGGTATAGTAGAACATCGAGGTCTCATTTACATTATGGGTGGATATACGGACACTGACAACGACCTGCGTGATCTTCTCTCATACAATCCTGTGACTGGGGAGTGGAAGAATCTAGCACCAATGCTAGGTGAACCATGTGACACGATATGTGTTGCAGTTTTGAATAACTTTCTGTACGTAGTAGGTGGTACTGAGTTGGAGGAAATGGAAAGATATTCTTTTGAACAGGTAAGATTATTTACCGTGGAGTGCTTATGAATTATTATTATAGGATGTGAAGAATATTTGTAATACTGTTGGTAAATAATTGTATAACCTCCCTCCCTTCCTTTTACCTTTTTTCTTTTACTTTCCCACAGAACAAATGGTTTAAGTGTTCATCAATGTATTCCGGTCTAAATTCCCCAGCAATTGTTGCTACAAATTCTCTGTTATATTTCATAGGCGGTGACATTAGAAATGATGATGGACAGGTAAGGAAGACTGAAAAGAATGATTAATGAAAACTGATAATATTTATTAATAATCTTTATAATCCAAAGTTTTAACCTAAACTATTTTTTTTTTTTTAGCTACTTGCCACTGATGTGAATGTGGAGTATTTCGACCCTAAGAATAATAGGTGGATAAACTGTACATCACTTCCTGAGGGTCGGATTGATGCTAGAGCAGTTTCAATTTGACAATCTTATCTGAACTACCTGCTGATGTAGAAATATCATCAGCTGATGGATCAGTTGCGAAGCCATTTAAAATAAAAAAAAACTTACTTTCTATCTTTTTAACTTACCTAATCCTTATAATTGTTTAATTTTACATTTGCTGAATACTGAATAAAGAGCTGACCAAAGCTGTCGAACCGGTGGCCAAGTTTAGTTAGGATGAGTGTGTAGCTTAAAAAAGTCTGCCGAAAGGCATCCAAAACATTAATTCAAAAGTTTTCTTTGAGGTGCTGTGACGTAACTGGTGATAGCGAAGGTTGCTTATATTAATTACCCCACCACATACGTTACAGCAAAACTTTGCTTCCTGTGTATGTGTCTTGTGAATTCTTATTATTATATACTATAGTGAAAAGGAAGTAAAAAATTGTCATGTGGAGTATTTTGATCCTAAGGATAACAAATGGAGAAACTGTACACCCCTGAGGAACGGTCTGATGCTAGAGTAAAGAAGTGTATGTTTTTATTTTTTTTTTTAATCCAGGTCGGTCAAGTTGTTTTCTTTAATGGGCCCCAGGGTTGATGGGGCCCCTAGTCTTAATGGGCCCTTAATCTTAATGGACCCCAGTTTTAATGGGCACTCAAATAACCTAACACACAAATATTACATTTTAAGTCCACACAAATATTACATTTTAAGTCCATTACAAATAATAAACACACGAAATCTTGAGTATATCTCTCCTCTAGTCACAGCCTGGCATTTGATATTATTAACATAATATGTACCGGGAACTTGATATCTCTTCTCTCCCAAGCTCAAGCTCAAGAATATTCAACGAGAAACTTTCAAGCCCTCTTCATCCTCCTCTCATCCTCTTCAACATACACACACACACTTAAAATAAAAAAATAAATGTATTACCTATCCCAACATACTGAAAGAAAGAGGCTGCTGGCTGTAGTTTAGTTTTGTTACTGTTTGAAGAAGCAACGGAAGCACCACCACCACCACCACCACCACCACTACGGGTATTACCAGATATCACCACACCACTAAAAATAAAACTGACACTAGTTAGTATTACATTAGTATCTGAAGATGGCGGCTGCACATGTGGAGCTCTCTCATAACGAGGAGGAGAAGGAGGAGGAAGAGGAATGTAAATCTTATCCGAACTACCTGCTAGACTACATACATTTCCTCTGGCAGTCACAAGAGTTATGTGATGTAGAAATGTTATTAGCTGATGGATCAGTTGTGAAGGTGAGTAAGTGAAACATTTATCTGTGAGCTCCTACCTATACATCTTTCTCTGCCTGCCCTCCATCACCCACCCACCATTTGAGGGAAACTTAACTACACCGCCCACACTCACCCTCCGCTTAGGAGAAGTCAGTGGAACATGGTTAACAAAGTATATCCAGTACAGTAGAAGAAATTTCCCTGTGCTTCTCCGAAGACACAAATAAAGAGCTGCTTATCCAACTTTATTCGCACGAGAGAATCAATGTTTCCAAGCAGTGATTTGATTTGGGCGGCTTACTTCCTAGCAGTGATTTGATTTGGGCGGCTTGCTTCCTAGCAGTGGTTTAATTTTGTTGTCAGTCTATAATTCTTTCACTTTTATGTAATCTGATGGGATTATATTGTATTCCACAGGCTCACCGTGTAATACTGTCAGCGGGAAGCAAATATTTTAAGACCATGTTTACGTGTGAATTTGCTGAGAAAACAACACAGTCAATAGAAATGAAGTTTATGAAACCCAATATATTACAACTGCTCGTCGACTTCATATATACTGGTAAGGGAAAATATTTTAAGTTTTCATAGTGCTATGCTGCTATCTATATGTAAAATTTAGATTTTGTTGCAAATGAATAAATGAAATTTTTTTTTCTTTTTTTGTAAAAAACTTTAGGAAACATCGAGATAACAGTGGAAAATGCACAGGAGTTAATTGCGGCTGCGAACATGTTGATGATATCACGTGCTGTACTTGTTTGTACAGACTTTCTCAAGAGCGAACTTGATCCATCCAATGCTTTGGGAATTTACCGGTACGTACAGTATAATAAATAATTTTAATTTTATAAAACTTTTTGTTGTTTAGATTCTTGTTGTTTCTGTACGTACCTACAGAAATAAATTCTAAATTTTTTTCTGAAAACAGGTTTGCTGAGGCCCATTATTTAGTAAGCTTGTTGAATGGTTCGCGGGACTTCATCTTCTCCAATTTCGTAGAAGTGACAATGGAGCAAGAGTTTCTTGAGATTCCTAAAGAAACTCTACTATATTTTTTGGATTCGGAGTATCTTCATATTGACTCTGAGTTTCAGGTAAATATTAGATATTTTTCTTTTTATTTAATATTTATTTATCAATTTCAAAAATCTAATTTTTTTTGTGGTTTATTGCAGCTAGCTCACTTTCTTTTTCTTTTGTTATATTGCAGGTATTCTCTGCTGCCATCAGATGGATTACACAAGAAATAACTGATAGACTTTGTTGGATTCTTGACATTCTAAAACGAGTGAAATTATCTTTAATTTCAAGTAAACTAATAGAAAAATCAATTAATGAGTGCTCTGACATCAGATTGAAAGTTAACCTTAAACAGCAGATAAACTTGGCTAAAGAGGAAGCCTCCTTTTATGTCCAGCCAAGAATTTGTAATCGAAAGAAAATTTATGTCATAGGTGGATCAAAGAACGAACTCATTAGATTATGGAATAGATCAGAGGAATATATGTTTAAAAGTGTCGAATGTTTTGATACCTTTAGGAAGGAATGGCAGAAAGTTTGCCCCATGAAAAATATAAGAATTTGGCCAGAAATAGCAGTCTTACATGGAAAAATTTTCGTTGTTGGAGGGGTTGGAGAGGAGATACTCTCTCCGATTTTGGCGGTTTATGATCCACAGGAAGATTATTGGACTGGAATATCTTCTATGATAATCCCACGGTGTGATTTTGGATTATGCGCTCATGGAGGTTATCTCTATGCCTTCGGTGGTTGGACAGGATCGGTTATGGAAAAAAATATTGAAAGATATGACCCTATTACAGATGAGTGGAGATTATTAGAGTCAAATATGCCAGAAGCTAGAAAAAAGTAAGTACAATTGTAATGTTAAAAATCAACCATTTTCAAATTAGATTTACTGACTGATAGTAACTGATAATGAGAAAATGTAGCAGTAGCCTGTACTGTTTTTTTTTTCTTTTTCTCCTTTTCTTTTCTTTTACAGGATGGGTATAGTAGAACATCGAGGTCTTATTTACATTATTGGTGGATATACGTACACTTACAATCCCCTGCATGATCTTCTCTCATACAATCCTGTGACTGGGGAGTGGAAGAATCTAGCACCAATGCTAGGTCCACCATCTAAGACGATAGGCGTTGCAGTTTTAGATAACTTTTTGTACGTAGTAGGTGATAATAATGGGAAAAAATCAATGGAAAGATATTCTTTTGAACAGGTAAGATTATGAGATTATATACAATAAGGTTTGAATTTCAATATTGTAGCCAGGATGTGGAACAATTTGTAATACTTAGTGAAAAGGGATAAAAATTTTATGACCTCCCTCCCTTCCTTTTACCTTTTTTCTTTTACTTTCCCACAGAACAAATGGTTTAAGTGTTCATCAATGTATTTCTGTCATAGCCCAGCAGTTGTTGCTACAAATTCCCTGTTATATGTCATAGGCGGTGACTACAGTAGAAATTATAATAGACTGGTAAGGAAGAATGAAAAGAATGCTTAATGAAAAATGATAATATTTATTAATAATCTTTATAATCCAAAGTTTTAACCTCAAACTATTTTTTTTCTTTTTAGATATCTGTCGCTAATGTGGAGTATTTCGACCCTAAGAATAATAGGTGGATAAACTGTACATCACTCCCTGAGGGTCGGTCTGATGCTAGAGCAGTTTCAATTTGACAATCTTATCTGAACTACCTGCTGATGTAGAAATATTATCAGCTGATGGATCAGTTGTGAAGGTGAGCGAGAAATATATTTACTGCATACAATCACATCAGCTGCCTCACTTATGGGAAGACTGCCACAACCATCCCAGAGACAAATAAAAAAAAATCTGATGTGCCCTTACACTTCCTCACTCTCCCTTACACCCCCTCACTCTCCCCTCCTCCTAGTCACAGCCAGGCCGGCATTTGATATTATTAACATAAAATAAACCGGAAACTTGATATCTCTTCTCTCCCAAGCTCAAGATCAAGAATATCCAACGAGAAACTTTAAAGTCTCTTCATCCTCCTCTCATATTTCTTCAACACACACACTTAAAATAAAAAAATAAATACTTCCGTTGCTGGCTGTAGTTTATAGTTTTGTTACTGTTTGAAGAAGCAACGGAAGAATCACCACCACAACCACCACCACCACCACCACCACAACCACCATCACCACGGGTATTACCAGATATCACCACACAACTAAAAACAAAACTGACAACTGGTTAGTATTACATTAGTATCTGAAGATGGCGGCTGCACGTGTGGAGTTCTCTCATTACGAGGAGGAGGAGAAAGAGGAGAAAGAGGAGGAGGAGGAGGAGGAGGAGGAGGAGGAGGAATATAAATCTTATCCTAACTACCTGCTAGACTGCATACATTTCCTCTGGCAGTTACAACAGTTATGTGATGTAGAAATATTATTAGCTGATGGATCAATTATGAAGGTGAGTGAGTGATATATTTACCTATGAGTAAAGAAACATTTACCTCCAACCTACACATCTTTCTCTGCCCTCCATCACCCAAATCTTAAAAAACAAAAACTGATGGATTACATTTTATTTCACAGGCTCACCGTGGAATACTGTCAGGAGGAAGCGACTATTTTAAGACCATGTTTACGTGTGGATTTGCTGAGAAAACAACACAGTCAATAGAAATGAAGTCTATGAAACCCAATATATTACAACTGCTCGTCAACTTCATATATACTGGTAAGGGGAAACATTTTAAGTTTTCATAATGCTGCTATACTTATATTTAAATTAAAACGAAATACATTATGAATAAAAAACTTTTTTTTTAATACTTTAGGAAACATGAAGATAACAGTGGAAAATGCACAGGAGTTAATTGCGGCTGCGAACATGCTGATGATGTCCCGTGCTGTACGTTTTTGTACAGACTTTCTTAAGAGTGAACTTCATCCATCTAATGCTTTGGGAATTTACCGGTATGTGCAGTATAATAATTAATTATTTTCAAACTATTTATATAATACGACGTAACTAATTCCATATTGGTTTTTTTTTTAACAGGTTTGCTAAGGCCCATTATTTAGTAAGGTTGCTGCATTCTTCGCGGGATTTCATCTTTTCCAATTTCGTAGAAGTGACAATGGAGGAAGAATTTCTTGAGATTCCCAAAGAAATTCTACTGTATTTTCTTGAGTCAGAGTATCTTCATATTGACTCTGAGTTTCAGGTAAAATAATTTTTTTTATTTAATATTACAAACTTTCAACTGACTTTATATAATAAAGTTTTAATCCCAAACTATCAAAATTAACTTTCTCTATTATTTATTGCAGGTATTCTCTGCTGCTATTAGATGGATTACACGAAGAACTAATAGATATGGTTGTTGGTATTTTGACATTTTAAAACGAATGAAATTATCTTTAATTTCAAGTAAACTAATAGAAAAATTAATTAATGAGTGCTCCTCTGATATTAGATTTAAGGTTAACCTTAAACAGCAGACAAACTTGGCGGCCAAAAGGGCAGCCTTATATGTCCAGCCAAGAATTTGTACTCGAAAGAAAATTTATGTCATAGGTGGATCAAAGAAAGAAAACTATTTCCAAAATAAATTTAAAAAAAGTGTCGAATGTTTTGATATCTTTAGGCAGATATGGTAGAAAGTTTGCCCCATGGTAATTGTGAGAAATTCACCAGGAATAGCAGTCTTACATAGAAAAATTTTCGTTGTTGGAGGGATTGGAAAGGAGAGTCAGATTTTGACGGATGGCGAAGTTTATGATCCACAGGAAGATTATTGGACTGGAATATCTTCTATGGTGATCCCACGGTGTAATTTTGGATTATGCGCTCATGGAGGTTATCTCTATGCCTTCGGTGGTTGGACGGGATCGGTTATGGAAAAAAGTATTGAAAGATATGACCCTATTACAGATGAGTGGAGATTATTAGAGTCAAATATGCCAGAAGGTAGATCCAAGTAAGTACAATAACAATTTTCAAATTGGATTTACTGACTAATAGTGTGAACACTGATAATAATGAGAAAATATAACAGTGCCTGTACTTTTGTTTTTTTTACAGCATGGGTATAGTAGAACATCAAGGTCTTATTTACATTGTTAGTGGATATATGAACTTTTACAACCCCATGCATGATCTTCTCTCATACAATCCTGTAACTGGGGAGTGGAGAGCGCTAGCAGGACGTGCTCCACCTCGCTACAACTACATGGGTGTTGCAGTTTTGAATAACTTTTTGTATTTAGTGGGTGGCCTTCTTTTTAATGAAGAAGCGGAAAAATCACTAGAAAGATATTCTTTTGAACAGGTAATATGCATGCTTATTATTATATACAATACAATTTGAATTACAGTAGTGAAAAGGGAGTAAAAATTGTATAACTCCCTTCTTTTCTCTTTCCCAAGACAACAATAATGATTTAAGTATATTGAAGAAGAATTTTTGTAATACTGTATGTAGTGTAATGAAAAGAGGGAGTAAAAATTGTATAACCTCCCCTCCCTTCTTTTCCTTCCACAGAACAAATGGTTTAAGTTTTCATCAATGAATTTTGATCGAAGTATCCCAGCAGTTGTTGCCACAAATTCTCTGTTATATGTCATAGGAGGTCACCGTCAAAATAACCTTAATAGATTGGTAAGAAAGGAAGAATGGCAATGGAAGAATGAAATGAATTAATTATATAGAATGAATTATATTACAATTTTAACCTCTAACTTTTTTTTTAGGTATCTGTCGCTAATGTGGAATATTTCGACCCTAAGAATAATAAGTGGATGAACTGTACATCACTCCCTGAGGGCCGGTCTTATTCTAGAGCAGTCTTAATTTGACTCCCTAAACCTTCCTCAAGACTGACATTATCTTCATATTTAATCCATTTAAAATAAAAAAGGTTTGCTTTCTATCTTTTAATTTAACTTACCTAACATGAAATTTGAAAGTATCCTTATAATTAGTATCTGAAGCTGCATGTGTGGAGCTTTCTCATCACGAGGAGGAGGAGAAGGAGGAGGAGGAGGAGGAGGAATGTAAATCTTATCCTAACTACCTGACGATATACATTTCCTCTGGCAGTCAGAAAAGTTATGTGATGTAGAAATATTATTAGCTGATGGATCAGTTGTGAAGGTGAGTAAGTGAAACATTTATCTGTGAGTGAAGAAACATTTAGGAGAAGTCAGTGGAACATTGGTTAACAAAGTCTATCCAGTACAGTGGAAGAAATAATATATTACAACTGCTCGTCGACTTCATATATACTGGTAAGGGAAAATATTTTAAGTTTTCATAGTGCTATGTAAAATTTTTCTTTTGTTGCAAATGAAATTTTGTTTTTTTAAAATACTTTAGGAAACATCGAGATAACAGTGGAAAACGCACAGGAGTTAATTGCGGCTGCGTAGTAGACTAAAATCAATCAAATTTATCTACTCTTTTTTTGACATTTTGAAACAAGTGAAATTGTCTTTAATTCAAAGTAAACTACTAGAAAAATCAATTAATGAGTACTCTGACTCGGAAATAAAGCTTATCCTTAAAAACATACAGTAGCAGCAGCAGCAAAACTTTTGTCCAGCCAAGAATTTGTACTCGAAAGAAAATTTATGTTATAGGTGGAATTAGATACAGATCAAATGAGTATACATTGAAAAGTGTCGAATGTTTTGATACCTTTAGGCAGAAATGGAAGAAAGTTTGACCTATGAAAATTGGAAGAATTTCAGAATTTCGCCAGAAATAGCAGTCTGTCTTACATGGAAAAATTTTCGTTGTTGGAGGGATTGGAGGGGACAGTCTGCAGATTTTGGCAGATGGCGAAGTTTATGATCCACAGGAAGATGATTGGACTGGGATATCTTCTATGGTGACCCCACGATGTCATTTTGGATTATGTGCTCATGAAGGTTACCTCTATGCCTTCGGTGGTAGGACGAAGGGATGTGATGACATATCCCCAAATATTGAAAGATATGATCCTTTTGCAGATGAGTGGAGATTATTAGAGTCAAATATGCCAAAAGTTATATCCCAGTAAGTACTGTTTACTGTTAAAAATCAATCATTTTCAAATAAATTTATCTGACTGATAGTGTGAATTACTGATAATGAGAAAATTTTGCAGTGGCCTGTACTGTTTTTTTTTTTTACAGAATGGGTATAGTAGAACATCAAGGTCTTATTTACATTGTTGGTGGATATAAGATCACTTTCGACCACCTGCAAAATCGTGATCTTCTCTCATACAATCCTGTGACTGGGGAGTAGAAGAATTTAGCACCAATAATAGGTCCATCTTCTTTACCAATAGGTGTTGTACTTTTGGATAACTTTTTTTACGTAGTAGGTGTAGGTGGTGGTATTCGGATTCGGGGCCTAAAATCAATGGAAAAATATTCTTTTGAACAGGTAAGATTATTTACCAGTGCTTATAAATTCTTATTATTTTGAATTACAATTATGACGAAGAATTGTAAGTAATTATATAACCTCTTCTGTTTCAGAACAAATGGTTTAAGTGTTCATCAATTTTTTGTCGAAATAGCCCAGCAGTTGTTGCCACAAATTCTCTGTTATATGTCATAGGCGGTGACTGTAGAAAAAGTGACATTGAGGTAAAGAAGAGATTGGTAAGGAAGAATAGAATGAAATGGATTAATGATTAATGATGGAAAACTGATATTAATATATACAATTTTTTAACTTTATTTTTTTTTAAAGGTATCTGTCGCTGTGGAGTATTTTGACCTTAAGAATAACAACAAGAGGAGAAACTGTACACCACTACTTGAGGGTCGGTCTGATGCTAAAGCAGTCACAATTTGACTGACTTTCTTTCTCTTCTCTCTCTCTTCTTGACACTTCCCCAAGCTCAAGAAGCTCAAGAATATCCAACAAAGAAACTTGCAGGTCCTCTTCTTCCTCTTCATCCTCAAACACACACTTAAAATAAAAATAAAAACTTAAATTAATGTATAGTTTTTACTACCTATCCCAGGCTGCTGTAGTTTAGTTTTGCTACTGTTTGGAGGTGAGGATGGAAGCATCACCACCACCACCTCTTACCTCCCCCTCTCTGTTAAAAATTACCAGATATCACCACTACCACTATTTACAAAAAACACTGGTGGGTTGTGTGGTTAGTGTTACATTAGTATTTGAGAATGGCGGCGACACGTGTGGAACTTTCTCATCACAAATTTAATCTATTTAAACTGCTCATAGAATTTATATATACTGGTGAGGATAATTTCGGAACAATCGAGATAACAAAGGAAAACATACAGGAGTTAATTGTGACTGCAAACATGATAGCAATACCCCAGGTTGTACGTATTTGTACAAACTTTCTCAGGAGAGAACTTCATCCATCCAATGCTTTAAGAATTTACAGGTACGTACAGTATAATAATTAATATTATTTTCTTGTTTTGATGTTTTTTATTTGTATCTGTACGTATACAATGCAGAATTTGAACTAAATCCCATTTTTTTTCTTTTTGTTGGGGGAACAGGTTTGCTGAGGCCCATAATTTAGTATCGTTGCTGCATTCTTCACGGGACTTCATCTTGACCAATTTCGTGGAAGTGACAAAGGAGCAGGGGGCTTGAAGAGAAACCTTCCTCAAGACTGACATTATCTTCATATTTAATCCATTTAAAATAAAAAAAAGCTTGCTTTCTATCTTTTTAACTTACCTAATATGAAATTTGAAAGTAATAAAGAACTGACCAAAGCTGTCTAACCGGCCAAGATTAGTTAGGATAAGTGTGTAGCTTAAAAAAAAGGCATCCAAAACATTAATTCAAAAGTTTTCTTTGAGCTGCTGTGACACAACTGGTGATAGCTAAGGTTGCTTATCACATACGTTACAGCAAAACTTTGCTTCCTTGTCATGTGACTTATGCTTAACTATAGTGAAAAAGAAGTAAAAAATTGTCATGTAGAGGGAGTATTTTGATCCTAAGGATAACAAATGAAGAAACTGTACACCCCTGAGGAACGGTCTGATGAGTAAAAAAGTGTATATTTTTTTGCTTTTTTTTATCCAGGTCTTCTTTAATGGGCCCCAAGGTTAATGGGGCCTCTAGTCTTAATGGGCCCCAGTTTTAATGGGCACTCAACTAACTTAACACACAAATATTACATATTATTAAATTACCCCAATATACTGAAAGAAAGAGGCTGCTGGCTGTAGTTTAGTTTTGTTACTGTTTGAAGAAGCAACGGAAGCACCACCACCACCACCACCACGGGTATTACCAGATATCACCACACAACTAAATACAAAAATGACAACTGGTTAGTATTACATTAGTATCTGAAGATGGCGGCTGCACATGTGGAGCTCTCTCATCACAAGGAGAAGGAGGAGAAGGAGAAAGAGGAGGAGGAGAAGGAGGAGGAAGAGGAATGTAAATCTAATCCGAACTACCTGCTAGACTACATACATTTCCTCTGGCAGTCACAAGAATTATGTGATGTAGAAATATTATTAGCTGATGGATCAGTTGTGAAGGTGAGTAAGTGAAACATTTATCTGTAAGTGAAGAAACATTTACCTCCTACCTATATATCTTTCTCTGCCCGCCCTCCATCACTCACTCACCATTTACACACATATAGGGGGAGGGAAACTTAACTACACTGCCCACACTCACCATCCGTTTAGGAGAAGTCAGTGGAACATGGTTAACAAAAGTATATCCAGTACAGTAGAAGAAATTTCCCTGTTCCCCCAACTTCCCTTCTTCTCCGACACAAATAAAGAGTTACTTATCCAACTTTCTTCTCACGAGAGAATCAATGTTTCCAAGCAGTGATTTGATTTGGGCGGCTTGCTTCCTAGCAGTGGTTTGATTTGGGCGGCTTGCTTCCTAGCAGTGGTTTAATTTTGTTGTCTGTCCGTCCATAATTCTCTCACTTTTATGTAATCTGATGGGATTACATTTTATTCCACAGGCTCACCGTGTAATACTGTCAGCTGGAAGCAAATATTTTAAGACCATGTTTACGTGTGAATTTGCTGAGAAAACAACACAGTCAATAGAAATGAAGTTCATGAAACCCAATATATTACGACTGCTCGTCGACTTCATATATACTGGTAAGGGAAAATATTTTAAGTTTTCATAGTGCTATGCTGCTATCTATATGTAAAAATTTTATTTTGTTGCAAATGAATAAATGAATTTTTTTTTTCTTTTTTTGTCAAAAACTTTAGGAAACATCGAGATAACAGTGGAAAATGCACAGGAGTTAATTGCGGCTGCGAACATGTTGATGATATCACGTGCTGTACTTGTTTGTATAGACTTTCTCAAGAGCGAACTTCATCCATCTAATGCTTTGGGAATTTACCGGTACGTGCAGTATAATAATAATTAATTAATTATTTTCCAACTGTTTATATAATATGTATTTTTATCTGTCCTATACGTAATTTTTTTTTTTTTTTTTTAAACAGGTTTGCTGAGGCCCATAATTTAGTAAGGTTGCTGCATTCTTCCCGGGACTTCATCTTCTCCAATTTCGTAGAAGTGACAATGGAGCAAGAATTTCTTGAGATTCCGAAAGCAATTCTGCTGTATTTTTTGGATTCAGAGTATCTTCATATTGACTCTGAGTTTCAGGTAAAATGTAAATATTTTTTTTTTATTTAATATGTACAACTTTCAATTGACTTTTATTTACAAGATTATTAACCCGAATTTATCTTTCTATTATTTATTGCAGGTATTCTCTGCTGCTATCAGATGGATTACACAAGCACAAGATATAAATAATAGATATTGTTGTTGGAATTTTGACATTTTAAAACGACTGAAATTGCCTTTAATTTCAAGTAAACTAATAAAAAAAGCAATTAATGAGTGCTCCGCTGATATTAAATTGAAGGTTAACCTTAAAAAGCAGACAAACTTGGCTAAAAAGGAAGCAGCCTTTTCTGTCCACCCAAGAATTTGTACTCGAAAGAAAATTTATCTCATAGGTGGATTCATGAAAGAACTCTATATATCAGATGGGTTTACATTTAAAAGTGTCGAATGTTTTGATATCTTTAGGCAGAAATGGCAGAAAGTTTGCCCTATGAAAATTGTGAGAAGTTCACCAGGAATAGCAGTCTTACATGGGAAAATTTTCGTTGTTGGAGGGAGTGGAGAGGACAGTCAGATTTGGGCAGATGGCGAAGTTTATGATCCACAGGAAGATTATTGGACTGGAATATCTTCTATGGTGATCCCACGGTCTGATTTTGGATTATGCGCTCATGGAGGTTTTCTCTATGCCTTCGGTGGTTGGACGGGATTGGTCATCGAAAAAAGTATTGAAAGATATGACCCTATTGCAGATGAGTGGACATTATTAGAGTCAAATATGCCAGAAGGTAGATCCAAGTAAGTACAATAACAATTTTCAAATTGGATTTACTGACTGATAGTGTGAACTACTGATAATAATGAGAAAATATAAGTGCCTATACTTTTTTTTTTTTTTTACAGAATGGGTATAGTAGAAAATCAAGGTCTTATTTACATTGTTAGTGGACGTATGGACTCTTATAACCCCTTTCATGAACTTCTCTCATACAATCCTGTAACTGGGGAGTGGAGAGATCTAGCAGCACTGAGTGCTCCACCTCGCTACAACTACATGGGTGTTGCAGTTTTGAATAACTTTTTGTATTTAGTGGGTGGTCTTTTTAATGAAGAAGGGGAAAAATCACTAGAAAGATATTCTTTTGAACAGGTAATGTGCATGCTTATAATTATATACAATACAATTTGAATTATAGTAGTGAAAAGGGAGTAAAAATTGTATAACTCCCTTCTTTTCTCTTTCCCAAGACAATAATCATAATTCAAGTAATATGGGAGAAGAATTTTTGTAATACTGTAGTGTTGTATAACCTCCCTTCTTTTCCTTTCCACAGAACGAATGGTTTAAGTGTTCATCAATGAATTTTTGGCGAAGTATCCCAGCAGTTGTTGCCACAAATTCTCTGTTATATATCATAGGTGGTCATCGTCCCAATGACCACCTTGAACTGGTAAGAAAGGAAGAATGGAAATGGAAGAATGAAATGAATAAATTATATTACAAATTTAACCACCTAACCACCTGTTTTTTTTTCTAAAGGTATCTGTCGCTAATGTGGAGTGTTTCGACCCTAAGACTAATAAGTGGATGAATTGTACATCACTCCCTGAGGGCCGGTCTTATGCTAGAGCAGTCTTACTTTAACTCCCTTCGACATCCCCAATCAAGAAAACTTCCCTCAAGACTGACATTTGTCTCCTCCACATTTAATCCATTTTAAATAAAAAAAAGCTTGTTTCCTATCTTTTTTTAACTTACCCTAACATGAAATTTGAAAGTATTCTTATAAAGTATCCTTGTGGATCAATGGTACCATTGTTTAATTTTGTCGAAATATCCCAGCAGTTGTTGCCTGCCACAAATCCTCTGTTATGTCATAGGCGGTTACGGTTATCATAACTTGGTAAGGAAGAATGGAAATAAGAATAAAATATATTAATAATTCCTAAATATTTTTATAATAATCCTTTATAATAAGTTTTAATCTAAAACCTGAGGATAAAAAGTGGAGAAACTGTACACCACTCCCTAAGGAACGGTCTAATGATGCTTTAGTAGTCTCAATTTGACTCGAAACCTTGAGTCTATCCCTCCTCCTAATCACAGCCTATTAACATAAAATGTACCGGGAACTTGATATATTAATGCTAGAGCAGTCTCAATTTACTCTCTTCTCTCCCAAGCTGACAACTGGTTAGGTTAGTCTTACATTAGTATCTGAAGATGGCGGCTGCACGTGTGGAGGAGCTCTCTCATCACGAGGAGGAGGAGGAGGAGGAATGTAAATCTTATCCTAACTACCTACTAGACGATATACATTTCCTCTGGCAGTCAGAAAAGTTATGTGATGTAGAAATATTATTAGCTGATGGATCAGTTGTGAAGGTGAGTGAGTGAAACATTTATCTGTGAGTGAAGAAACATTTCTCTGCCTGCCCTCCATCACCCACCCATCATTTACACACCATATCGGGGGAGGGAAACTTAACTACACCGCCCACACTCACCCTCCATTCCTTATTGCCGCCCAGGAGAAGTCAGTGGAACATGATTAACAAAGTCTATCCAGTGCAGTGGAAGAAATTTCCCTGCTCTCCCCTAACTTCCTTTCTCCCCCGACACAAATAAAGAGCTGTTTATCCAACTTTCTTCACACGATAGAATCAATGTTTCCTAGCAGTACTTTGATTTGGGCTTGCTTCCTAGCAGTGGTTTAATTTTGGTTTGCTTCCAGGTAATGGTTTGATTTTGTTGTCCGTCCGTCCATAATTCTCTCACTTTTATGTAACTTCACAAAACCTATGCTATGACAACGACTCTTCACCCAGATTTTTACGTCCCCTTAATGTATGTATAAAGGCAGTATGAACGAACTAACAAATTTTAAAAAATAAACGATGGAGATTACATTTTATTCCACAGGCTCACCGTGTAATACTGTCAGCGGGAAGCGACTATTTTAAGACCATGTTTACGTGTGGATTTGCTGAGAAAACAACACAATCAATAGAAATGAAGTCTATGAAACCCAATATATTAAAACTGCTTATCGACTTCATATATACTGGTAAGAGAAAATATTTTAAGTTTTCATAGTGCTATGCTGCTATCTATAAGTAAAATTTTTATTTTGTTGCAAATGAAGAAATGAAATATTTTTTTTTCTTTTTTTGTAAAAATACTTTAGGAAACATCGAGATAACAGTGGAAAACGCACAGGAGTTAATTGTGGCTGCGAACATGCTGTTCATGCCCCGTGCTGTACTTGTTTGTACAGACTTTCTCAAGAGCGAACTTGATCCATCCAATGTTTGGGGAATTTACAGGTAACGAATTTTTATTTTGTAAATTTTTTTATTTTGTTCTGTTCTGTTTTAATTTGATTGATTCTGATTCGATCTAATCCGATTCTAGAGAGGATGTGTTCCTTTTTTTTTTTACAGGTTTGCTCAGGCCTATTATTTAGTAAGATTGTTGAATGATTCGCGGGACTTCATCTTCTCCAATTTCATAGAAGTGACAATGGAACAAAAGTTTCTTGAGATTCCTAAAGAAACTCTACTATATTTTTTAGATTCGGAGTATCTTCATATTGACTCTGAGTTTCAGGTAAATATTAGATATTTTTCTTTTTATTTAATATTTATTTATTGAAATTTTTTTTTTTTTTGCAGCTCTCACTTTCTTTTTCTTTTCTTTTGTTATATTGCAGGTATTCTCTGCTGCCATCAGATGGATTACACAAGAAATAACTGATAGACTTTGTTGGATTCTCGATATTTTAAAACGAGTGAAATTGTCTTTAATTTCAAGTAAACTAATAGAAAAATCAATTAATGAGTGCTCTGACATCAGATTGAAAGTTAACCTTAAACAGCAGATAAACTTGGCTAAAGAGGAAGCCTCCTTTTATGTCCAGCCAAGAATTTGTAATCGAAAGAAAATTTATGTCATAGGTGGATCAAGGAAAGAATTCAATATAATATTGAATAGATCAGAGGAATATCTACTTAAAAGTATCGAATGTTTTGATACCTTTAGGCAGAAATGGCAAAAAGTTTGTCCTATGAAAATTGGGAGAATTTCACCAGGAATAGAAGTCTTACATGGAAAAATTTTCGTTGTTGGAGGGGTTGGAGAGATAGACGCTCAGATTTTGGCGGATGGCGAAGTTTATGATCCACAGGAAGATTATTGGACTGGAATATCTTCTATGGTAATCCCACGGTGTGATTTTGGATTATGCGCTTATGGTGGTTATCTCTATGCCTTCGGTGGTTGGACGGAATCAATGGAAATAGGAAAAAATATTGAAAGATATGACCCTATTACAGATGAGTGGAGATTATTAGAGTCAAATATGCCAGAAGCTAGATCCAAGTAAGTACAATAACCAGTACAATAACAATTTGGATTTACTGATAGTGTGAATTACTAATAATAATAATGAGAAAATGTCGCAGTGACCTGTACTGTTTTTTTCTTTTTTTTTTCTTTTTACAGCATGGGTATAGTAGAACATCGAGGTCTTATTTACATTATTGGTGGATATACGGACACTTACAATCCCCTGCATGATTTTCTCTCATACAATCCTGTAACTGGAGAGTGGAAGAATCTAACACCAATGCAAGGTCCACCGTCTAAGACGATAGGCGTTGCAGTTTTAGATAATTTTTTGTACGTAGTAGGTGATGGTATTCTGGATGAAAATTCAATGAAAAGATATTCTTTTGAGCAGGTAAGATTATTTACCAGTACTTAAAGTTTAATATTGTAACCAGGAAGTGGAAGAATTTTTGTAATACTTTAGGAACAAAGGGAAAAAATTGTATACCCCCCTCCCGCCCCCTTACTCTTGTTTTACCTTTTTCTTTTACTTTCCCACAGAACCAATGGTTTAAGTGTTCGTCTTCAGAGTATTTGGGTCGAAGTAGCCCAGCAGTTGTTGTCACAAATTCTCTGTTATATGTCATAGGCGGTTACTGGAGTGGTTTGAATGGAATTGGAATGGTAAGGAAAGAAGAATAAAAGAATGATTAATATAAAATGATAAATATTGATAATAATATTTATAACTTTTTTTTTTCTTTTTAGATTTCTCTCGCTAATGTGGAGTATTTCGACCCTAAGAATAACAAGTGGATAAGCTGTACACCACTCCCTGAAAGTCGGACTAATGCTATAGCAGTCTTAATTTGACTACTCGAAACTTTGAAAACCTATATACTGATGTCCTCCTCCTCCTCCTTCATCCTCACTCATTCTTATTTTAGTAAATAAAAAGCAAATAAATAAATGTATAGTTTTTTACTACCCTATATGATATAAAATTGTATTATTCTTTGTAAACTCTACCCAACCTATCCCAACATACTGCCAACTACCTGCTAGGTCACATTGCAAATTAGCCAATCGAGAAAACAAAAATACTCAGTTTTTCACATTGCAGTATGTGATAAAAAAACAATGCATAAAATAATTTTAATAGTGTTTATTTGGTTCGGTTAAAATAATAACAATGTGCAAAAAGAAATTAAATCTTTTCCATTCCATACATTAAAGGAAATTTGAACATTTCATCCGGAATACTTTATTTTTTCACAAAGATCTGCATTCCTCTATGACGCAATACCAAAGGGGGGAGTGTACATTCCTTGTGGATATCGTCTGAAGATTCTACTTCTAGGATAATGATCTCTCCTGTAAGGGTAAGGGTTTTCACAAAGATGTTGTTTCCTCCTCTAATAAGACGCAGTGTAGATTCCTTCTGGATATTGCAGTCAGAAAGAATGCGACAATCCTCCAACTGCTTACCAGCAAAGATCAATTTCTGCTGCTTTGGTGGGGTGCCTTCCCTATCCTGAATTTTTGCCTTTACATTTTCAATGGTGTCTGAAGGTTCTACTTCTAGGGTAATCTTTCCTGTAAAGGTTTTCACAAAGATCTGCATTCCTCCTCTAAGACGCAATACCAAATGGAGTGTAGATTCCTTCTGGATATTGTAGTCAGAAAGAATGCGACAATCCTCCAACTGCTTACCAGCAAAGATCAATCTCTGCTGGTCTGGGGGGATACCTTCCTTATCCTGAATTTTTGCCTTTACATTTTCAATGGTGTCTGAAGGTTCTACTTCAAGAGTAATAGTCTTTCCAGTGAGGGTTTTCACGAAGATCTGCATGATGTACTGCAAAGAAAACAATTCATTAGTAAAATTTTAGCCACAGTATAATTCTTAAATAATCTTAAATTTAAATATCTACAAGATTGTTGAGCATGTTATAGTAGGTAGCAAGGCAACCATTATATATGAAAACACAAGACTACTACATTAATATTTTATACACATATTGTACAGTACACATAAATCTTGGCTTTAACCAAAGTAACTACATACCCCCCCACACACACATACAGTATAGAGCAATAACACATGTACTCCACAGATGTTCATTTGCAGTCTATCTTCTGTGTAACCTAGCTATGCATATACAAATATAGTATAATAAAATTAAATGCCTAGCATTTATGGGCTTTAGGCAGAAATGGCAGAAAGTTTGCCCAATGAAAATTGAGAGATGTGGGCCAGAAGTAGCAGTCTTACATATAGAAATTGAACCGGCAGACGATGAACTTTATAATCCTGATCCGCTTTTGGAAGATAATTTGATCGGGGTATCTTCTATGGTGCTCCCACGGTGATTTTGGATTATGCGCTCATGGAGGTTATCTCTATGCCTTTGGTGGTTTGACTGTCTTAGGAGTGTGGCTGTAGTTTAGTTTTGTTACTGTTGGAAGAAGCAACGGAAGCACCACCACCACCACCACCACCACCACTACGGGTATTACCAGATATCACCACACCACTAAAAATAAAACTGACAACTAGTTAGTATTACATTAGTATCTGAAGATGGCGGCTGCACGTGTGGAGCTCTCTCATAACGAGGAGGAGAAGGAGGAGGAAGAGGAATGTAAATCTTATCCGAACTACCTACTAGACTACATACATTTCCTCTGGCAGTCACAAGAGTTATGTGATGTAGAAATATTATTAGCTGATGGATCAGTTGTGAAGGTGAGTGAGTGAAACATTTACCTGTATTTATCTCCTACACTTTCTTCTCTGCCTGCCCTCCATCACCCACCTTTTATACCCATATCGAAGTACACCGTCCACACTCTACCCGCCGCCGCCCTAACTGCCCAGGAGTCTAGGACCAAGGAATAGTGGAAGAAATCTCCTAACTTCTCTGAATGCTTCCTAGAAGTGGTTTAATTTTTGGTTTGCTTCCTAGCAGTGGTTTGATTTTGGCTTGCTTCCTAGCAGTGGTTTTATTTTGGCTTCCTATTGTTCGACCAGTCTACATCTATAGGTACCTCACCGCACTGTTATTATGGCCTCTCTCATTTTACATCCTCCACTTGCCCCATGACCTCCTCCTATAGGTCCCAGGCCGTTACCAACACTTTTTCCTTCCCAGACAAAATATCCCTCCTCCCAGTCCTCCTCCCAGTCATAGGCCTGGTATTTGACGACATATTAATGTCACGTCAATCTTTATCATAACCAGGAACTCCCTCCCCCCCCCACCACCTACAAATTCAATCCATCTCTCATTTTTATTTAAACTTGACAAAACCTATGTTATGACGACGACCCTTCACCTAGACTTTTACGCCCCCTTAACGTACCCACCCCAATCAATAAACTAGCCCCCCTCGGGGACAAATATAAAAAAAAAAAAAAAATGATGGAGATTACATTTTATTCCACAGGCTCACCGTGTAATACTCTCGGCGGGAAGCAAATATTTTAAGACCATGTTTACTGGTGGATTAGCTGAAAAAACAACACAGTCAATAGAAATGAAGTTTATGAAACCCAATATATTAAAACTGCTCATCGAGTTCATATATACTGGTAAGGGAAAACATTTTAAGTTTTCATAGTGCTATGCTATATGTAAAACAAAAAGAAATAATTATAAATAGAAAATTTATTTTTGTTTTTTAAATACTTTAGGAAACATCAAGATAATAGTGGAAAACGCACAGGAGTTAATTGCGGCTGCAAACATGCTGATAATGTCCCGTGCTGTACTTGTTTGTACAGATTTTCTCAAGAGGGAACTTCATCCATCTAATGCTTTAGGAATTTACCGGTACGTACAGTATAATAATTAATTATTTTCAAACTATTTATATAATATGTATTTTTATCTGCACCTATACGTAACT